TTCGCAAAGGCCTAGGAATGCGTGAAGCTCTTTTTTCACTTAATATACAGATACAAAGATGCCTGGACGTCAATCAAGACATATACGCATGTTTTATTGACTATAATAAAGCATTCGATAAAGTACGACATGAACAATTAATGGATGTCCTGAAATCAAAGGAGATTGACTACAACGACCTCAGGATCATATCAAATTTCACAAGGAAAACAATTCCTGTAGCTGGCTGTATACCACGTATCACAAAAAAAGAGGTTAATCTTTGTAAGTGGGTATATTTATTTAAAAACCCTTAAAAGGGCTACATCAAAAAAACAAACGTTTTCGGACTAAACAGTCCATCATCAGGTTTAAAATCTGCCTAAAATAAGTACAAACCATTTAGTTAAAACAAACGTGATTATGAAATTTTGACTATGGTTAAAAAAGCAAAATGGCTATACTTACTAGGTTAAAATGCCTGAGCCACCAAAATACATGGGTAAAAACCCTTTAAATTACTTATAGTTATCAAAGATTATACATCTTGTTGTTAAAAAACTGTGATGTTCATTATTAAATTAGATATGACTTCAGGTAACATACATTGTAAAAAGTTTTGAGTTCCAGAGCTGGGGAGAAACCTCAACGCACGGAGAACAGCTGGAAACTGATTTACAATATACCTATGAAAGGTGACATAAACAAAAATGTCAATGTAACATGGAACTATATTAGTTATACCTAGTATTACTACAGCCAAAAGATTCAAAAATTATTTTGATGATTTTAAAATAATAGCAGCAATATTGGTGTTGGGATTTAAAATTTGGGTTATAATTGATGTGAAATCATCAATGGTGTTAAAGTCATGTTTGAGAGGATGACCTGTGTATTAGGCAACCTATGTTGCTTTTTGTCGTATGGAGTATGGTCTAAAAGTGTATGTTGTGTTAGATTAGCTTATATATATGAAAATTATCCTTTTATGTTTATCACATCTAGAACAGGTAAAAATTTTTAAATAGTAAATATTTAAAGCTAATATAAGACCTTGTATTTAAATGACTATTTAAGACTGTTAGTATGGTGAGAAATTAATGAAAACAAGTTTGGTAAATTGAAAATCTACAGGCTGAAGAAATCAGAGTTATAACCTATGTGATTAATTTAAAATTGGAGAGGCTGAGTTCCTCAGAGACTTGATGAGAAATAGCGAAAAAGACTGAAGAAGGAGGGGATGGTTAAAGGAGAAAAGGAGTTAATCAACAATTAGAGATAATAGGGGTCCTTTATGCTTGAAGCATCTAGCACCCTGAACAAAATGTATTTTAGTAGTAATAGATTCGGTTTGTATAAATCTAAAATTTGAAATATGAATGTGCTATTTAGTTGTTGATCAAAAGAAGGTGAGCAATGTTGGAATAGGATTTTTTTTATGAGGGGAAAATTATATGAAATTTGAAAAACAGTTAGATGATGTTTGAATGATTACTGACTTTAAAACTATTGAGAACATGTTAGATATATGAATTGACCAAGAAATAATGAAAGAAAAGAAAGGACAGGAATGTGATGTAGATGTGAAGACTGAAGAAAATGATAAAATACTATCATACCATAATATTGTGAACAAACAAAGTGAACAAATATGCATATCTAGGAACAATGATTAACTCCACAAATGATTACATTCAGGAGATCAAAATCAGACTAGAAAAGGTGAGAGCAAATTTCAACAAAACGAGAAGAGTGCTATGTACAAGGGATTTAAAATTGGAACTAAGAGTGAGGTTGGCGAGGTGCTATGTTTTTTCGACTTTGTTTTATGGAATGGAATCTTGGACCTTGAATGCGACATCAATGAAAAAACTGGAATCATTCGAGCTCTGAGTGAACAAAAGAATTCTGAAAATATCGTGGACAGAACACGTCACAAACAAAGGTTCCGAAAAGGATGAATAAAGAAATAGAAATTGTAAATACAATTAAAATATGAAAATGGGAATATCTCGGACATATTACACGCGGAGAGAAATACACCTGGCTCCAACTGATTATGCAGGTAAAGATCCAAGGAAAAAGAAGCATAGGGAGGCGTAGAATATCATGGCTGCGCAACCTGAGAAAGTGGTACGGATGTACATCAAATAAACTTTTCAGAGCAGCCGTCTCAAAAGTCTGAATAGCTATGATGATTGTCGACTTCTGCCGTGGAGAAGGCACTTGAAGAAGAAGAAGAATTTATTATAGTTATGTATTTAACGAGGTAGAATAATGCGCACGATAAAATCAAAATAGCTTATCCTCTTTCTTGTCACGCATCACTCTGAATAATGCATTCACTGTACAGAAATCTTGCACTGTAGCACAGCCACCTTTACTTCCAAGCCATGAAGTAGAAATTTGGCAACAACGCGTGGTAGTCCGACTGTAGTTTGTTTTGGTTTAACATTTCATATAGGAAGGCTTGTAAAGTTTGTTGAATTTATTGTTTTTTTCAACTTTATTCGAATGATTTATTTGTAAATTGTGTTTAAATCAATTAGAAAATATTAATATAAGTGAAATTTCATTAAATTTAGAACTTTTAGAAGATTCTTAACCACAATTTAAAAGGCAAGTATAAATATAACCTACAAAACAAACTGAAAATAATAATACTTTTGCTTCTTGTTACAAAATATGTAAACTAAAAACAACAATAATAATACTTTTGTTTTTTGTTACAGATGCTCTGGCATTGTTGTGTACCTGGTTGCAAAACCAATTATGCTAGTACTTTAAAAACGAAACAGGCAGAAAGTACGTTTTTGTTTCCCAAAGATCCCCAAAGAAGGTATACTGGGTTATGCTCTATTCATAGCGAAGGCTGTACAATTACCAAATCTTCCGTAGTATGTGCCAAACATTTTCATGTTCAGCGGACTGAACGATGAGAAGAGAAAGATGGAAATGTACACATTGAAAGTTCTAACATGACAGTTCCTAATATATTTCCTGAAGTACCATCATATGTAACTGTTCATCGTACTAAAGAAAGAAGGAATCCCGAAGACAAAAGAAACTTTTTGCATAAGAAGAGGGAACAAGAGATAACATAATTATGTCAATTAGACTTAGACAATTATATCCCATTGAAAAACTGGACAAGTAAAATTACAAGTGACTGTGTATATTTCTATGTATTAAACATTAATCAGTTGGGACACAAGTGTGATAATATTTGTGTATTATGTAGTGTAATAGTTAGCAGTAATTTTAGTGTAATCGTCAATGTAGGTAAGAATAGATTAAGTGGTAATGATTTGAAATGGATTTTACAATAGAGTAGATTAACAAGATGTTCACAATTAGAGAGCTTATTTTCTCATTTAGATCTGCTTTTTAGATAAGTGATAACAAATTTGAGTATTACATTCAAAAATCTTTTGAGAATATAGGCTATTTTAAATCGATATACAAGTTATAAATGGTATATTACATTCAACACATTTTTCATGTATACCTCTTTTAACTTGGTCTATATGACAACAAACCTATTCTAAAATTGCTACTTTTGTATATCTAAGTATGAAAATTCAACAAAAGTTATAAGTAAATACTTAGTAAAATATTTAATTTTTAATTAGATTAATTTAGAACCATATTTATATTGTGTCTGATTTCTTAGGATGAATTTTTTAATCATAATAGTTACACTATTTTATAAGTTTTTACTTACAACAAATTTTATATCTTTTGTATTTTTAATAATCTTTTTAAATGTCGTGTTAATGTATTGTATTATTTATATGCTTAAGTACTTAATATTTAAAATTTCTAGAGATTCTTGACTGCATTTGATTGTAAGATTAACTATTTGACACTGTATTTTAAGTGCAATAAATTTTACTCTAGTGATTATTTTATTGATAATATAACCTAAATAATAATAAAACTTTATATATATTTACTAGGTATATATAAGGTTTTATTAATTTAATTTCCCTAAAAATATTTCTGTAATGAATTGAAGTTTTCAAAATATCAGTTTCCTAAAATTCAAATTAGTTTAATATTCTGGTAGACCTTACAGCTGATTATCGGACTACCGACGTCATAGAATGCGGTGTTGCCTTTTTTACTTCATGGCTTGGAAGTAAAGGTGGTTGTGACTGTAGCCATGATACTATGCACTGTAACCATCGAGCAATAAGACAAAAGAGGGAATCTAATCCTTATGAAAAGGAGACCAAAAAAGTGGCCTCTGATGGCGGACATATCCGGAAATGCGAATGTGCGAAATTTAAATTTTCCGACACTTATCAACAGTAGCTATATAATATTTTTCAGAATGTGTCTTAGACGAGAAAGTTTTAATTAATTATTAATGATAAGAGTCTAAAATGCGACACAATTGTTAAAAAACTTCAATATAAATAAGATTTCATGTGACATTTGGGACAAACAATAACATAACCCAACTAAATTTGATGTCAAACAAGGAGAGAGACTCTCTTTCCTTGTTTAATGTGGCCTCTAAAGATCGCACTTCCTGTCTAACAATATGTTTGCCCCCACTACCTTTACATTCCCTCTATTGTCTTTTTGCTCGATGACTGTAACTATGCGCAAGCGTAACCACAAAATTTGGAGTTAACCCACCTAACGAGTATCAGTTAAAATCTTAGTCAACGAGTTTAACCACTAACCTAGTACTGAAAAACTAATTTAGCATGAATATTTCGGTGACCGAAAATTAAATAGGTTAACCCAGCACTGAAAAACCAGCCCTTATTGAACCTAAACTCTAGAATTACTGATTTTATATTAAGTATAGTATGGTAAAGCTATATATATATATATATATATATATATATATATATATATATATATATATATATATATAGATAATATACAATATACTACATTTATCATCTAACCTAATTTACATCCTATTTATTATCTAGAACAAAAATTGGATTCTTCTTTGTATTAAATGTTTTTTCTTTCTTTGGATATGTTCATTAGTGAATGTTTTAACAAAAATGTTTTTCGTATTTTCTAAATGGCTTCATGACATTAATGCAACATTTAATTGAAAGATTATCGTCCTTTGTTGTACAAATTTCTATCCTTTGACCACTTTCTAATTTGGTGGATAAAGGAACTATTTGTCCATTTATTTTTGCTGTTCTACACCTGTTTTCTGTGAGATTATATAAAGCACAAGCAAAATCTACAGGGGTAGAGCCGGAAGGTAAACAAACAATTTTTCCGTGGGGGGTTAAAGTATAGATATTATCTTTAAATAACTCATTTTTAAAAATAGAAGATATGTTATTATTATCGATGAGTTCACTTTTTTTTCTATTTTGTAATATATATCGTAGTTTAGCGATTTTTCTGTCGTAGTCTGCATTATACTTTCCGTCTTCTTTATATTTCCAGTGTGCAGCTACACCATATTCCGCAAATTTATGCATTTCAAAAGTTCTGATTTGAATTTCTACACTTTTATCCTCAGGGCCCACAACTACTGTATGAAGACTGCGGTAATTATTTGGTTTAGGGTGGGATATATAATCTTCAAATTCATTAGCAATGGGTTCCCATAATCTATGGACTATACCTAATATTTTGTAACAATCGCTAATAGTACTGACTATTATTCTTACGGCTCTAATATCGTACAAATCATAAAAAGATAGTTTTTTCTTTCGCATTTTTTTATAGACAGAATAAATATGTTTTGGTCTTCCCGCTATTTCTAATTTGACATATTTTTTTTCTAATTCGTTACGTAAAATATTATTAAAATTTTGAATATACTCTAATATTTTTGTTCTATCTTCATTCATCTGTTTCGATATCTTTATATATGCTTCAGGTTTGTAATGTTTTAAAGCTAAATCTTCTAATTGCCATTGTAACTGCCAAATACCTAATCTATTAGCAAGAGGAGCAAAAATATATAAGGTTTCTTTTGCAATTCTTTTCTTAAAAAAAGATGTAGATGATAAATTAAAAAATAGTAATGTTGAGGTTCTTAATGCTAATATTATTAAAACTACCCTAAAGTCATCAACTACAGCTAATATCATTTTTCTAATAGTTTCTATTTCTTGCTTTAATTCCTGTTTGTTAGTTTTGTTAGTATTCTGAATAGTTATAGATCTGTATATAGATTGTAATTGATTAAATCCTTCTATTATGTTTAAAACACTAGATCCGGCTATGTCTTTAATATTTTCTTTCCAATTTTTATCATATTTATAGGAGTAAATACATAAAGTAGCTAATACAGTGTCATTTAATAGGTCTAGTTTATCAATAATATGTGCAGCATAGATAATAACTTCAATAAAAGGTCTTTGAATAATATGACTGTTACTATTAGGATGAATATTTCTAATATATTTAATGACATTATTAAACTTGGTTAATTCTTCATTATGTAACTTTTCTTTATAATTATTAACCCAAGTAGTAGTTACTTCATCAATTTTTATTTTTGTATATTTAGTATTATTAAGTTGCATATTGTGTATCACAAAAATTATAAATAAAATGTACTAGATTTAGAATTTCCTTTTTTTTATTTCAAATTAAACTCATTACTTAAGTATTATATTTTTAGTTATAGCAAATAAAGCAGATTTCGCTAAATATAGGTAATATTGCTATAAATGAAAAAGTATATTTAGTATAGTTTTATGTGAGAATAGTTATTAAGAGAATAAGTTAGAAATAAAAATATAGAAAGAACATATTTGTAATTCCAATAAAATTTCATGTATTAATATTAATTAAAATAATGCCAATTGTAAAGTCATAATCCATTCAGAATTTTTGGTTGTTACCTTATAGAATCTATGATAATATCATCTAGGTTTTTTACAGTTGTAAGTTTACATTTTTCTTGATTTATTTGAAATATTATAAAAAATAATATGTCCACCCCCTTTACAAAATATAAATATGATTTTTTTATTAGTTATCATAATAAACATATTGACAATATCTAAAATTGACTAAATAATTATTATATGTTAGTATAAATATAATATAAATAACAGAAGTATTCTTATGCCTTGCTACATATTTAATAACAGGGATATAAATAACCTCTAATAATTTTAGTAGGTACTATCAGCTGTTGGATCATTTCAAGAAATATTTAATATTTAAAATATCAAGGTGGTGGTGGTGGATAATTATTTCGTTTTTTATGGTAGATTTACAGATAACACTAGCATAGCAAAGTACACTAAATAAAATACATTTAATTCCTACATATCTCTAACTAAATTAATTTTCTATTATTATTATAATAATAATGATAAATTGGCTTCTGTACACTTTCTTCTTCAAAATGACTTATTCCTGCAAAATGAATAAAAAAGTAAAATTTTTATTGATCAAATATGTTTTTACTATAGCTCAATTCTCTACCCTCTTTTTCTTCTTTAAATTTTTTTCTGGTATAGAAATTTCTTTGAAAAAGAATTTTCTATTTGTTCATGTTTCTTTAAGAGGACTTTTACTTTCTAAATCAGAAAAAAAGACAAGTTGACAAGTAAAATATTAACCAAAAAACACCTATTATATTGATGGTCACATTTTTTTCTATTTATTGTTCAGAAGAATTTAAGGTAGGTATACAAAAAAAATCTTTTTTGACACTTATTTGTTTTTTAACACTGCAGAGGATGTCTTCAAAAGATGCATTTTAATTTGCAAGACACTTTTCTGCCCCCACGTACCATTTTTTTTTTAATTCCAATGGGATTCAATTTTTCAGACCAAAACTAATAAATATATTCGTAACCCTTTGTGTCCCCTTTTGGTGTCTCGCTGTTTCTTCTATTGGCTTGAGCCAAATGAGCTTGGTCAATATTTTCAGGCCAACTTGTTGCTATTTCTCCAATTTGTAGTCCAATTTTGCAGAGGAACTAAGTAATTTAGAATTATTTTCTGCAGTTATCAAAACAATAATGTCGATAAACTTCAATAATATAAAACAAGTTTTAGAAAGCAATTGTCGAATTGCAAGTGCACAGGTGAAACGGGGCGCGCAGTGTTTAAAAAAAAATGAGTTTTAGCTCAGGTGTGTACCCATATAAATACAGCTATAACTTCGATACTATTTCGAATTTTTTAATAAAATTTTAGGACAATATTTCTATGATGATAAGAAATGTTTTTACATAAAAAAGAATCGATTTTTGGAAAATTTAGAAAGTAAAAGTCCTGTTAGGCTCTCAATCAGCATGTGAGCTACGATAAGCTATACCATTTGCTGTTAAAATTATCATTTATTTGTTTCCAATTATAATTATTCAAAAAAAAACTTTTTTATTAGCAATTAACCCTATCATCTCATCAACTATTTTAGAAAATTTGAAACTGTACTATTGATCATAAATATTATATTATGTGTTTTATAAATTTAGACATTTCACCTGCAACTAAATCTGTATTTTATGTCTAAATATCAGTTCTAAGAGTTATCATTCTAGAATGTATTGGGTTTGATAGATGAATTCCTAATATTAATTCTGAAACACATATATCTAAACTAGCAACATTTTTCTTTATTATTTATTTTTATTTAACTTGAATTGTATTAGTATGACTATAGTGCTAAAGTGCTATTAATTTATTTATTTAAACTGTAACAATAAATCTGTCTGAATACTAATTGTGTAGTCGGATGACAGAAGCAAAAAATTCAATTTTTGAAATTTTTTTATAATTTATTAAAAACACCTAAAAATTATCTGCTGTTAAAAAAAACAGACAAATAAATCAAATGTTATATGGGTTGCTTTATATCAAATAGTGATCTTTTTCATACTCACAATTTTAACTTTAATCAATTAATTTTAACTTTGAAACTCAAATTTGGACATGTCTGCTTTCGTCTTATGACCACACAATTGATAATAATACCGTTTCTAAATATGGTATTTCAGCATTTCTTTACATGTCACTGTTAAACTTTATTATTATTTGTTCTTTACTCAATATATTTAATAAATTATGTAACTGTGCAAGAAGATAAATGTTTTAATATTAGCCAATTTTTAAAGTATGTTACAATTATTAATATACAATAAAAACAAACAGTAAAAAACAATAAAACAGTGGCTGCTAAAAAAAAAGCAATCCAACTTCTGAATTTTTTATTCAACCTACATTTAATTAAATTGGATTTTTAATTTGAATTTGAATTGATTTACCTTAACCTTACTTACTATTCTGTAAAATAGTAAGGTTAACTTTGATCTTAATAAAACAATTACTATGTTTTGTATGTATTTTGAGATTTTAGGATAATTTGAAAACTAAAATTCACTACATTATATATTTCTCACAATGGGTATAAAAATTCAATATTTGTGTAGCAAACTACTAATTATCCAAAATAAGGGATAAATATTAAACTATTGGAGCAATAAAATAGTTAATATAAGTTTCTTCAATGCAAGAAATGTAAAAAAATAGTCCATTCTATCTGTAATAAATCAAATTTCATTAATATGTAAATAATTAACTTATTTATGATCAATAAGACCTTATTAACGACTTAATGAACATTTAACTGTACAAAAATTATTTTAAAGGGCACAATACCTAAGTGTATTTTTCATGACAGGGGCTATTAAAAAAATATCTATAATTTTTTTAATATTAATTTAGTAAATTTACTAAATATATATATTTTAAATACGTTTACTTGAGGAAATTTAATATTTATGTATAATTAAAAGCAAAAACATATGATGGGTATTAAGTATAGAGAGGGTATAAATAAAAAAAAATTCATAAATTTCAAAAAACGGGTTAGAAGAGGTCATAAAACATTTGAATACTGAAAATAAACTAAACTGCAAATGTAACACAAAAATATCTACTTCTTGACAGAAACGAAAATAGACTAAAGTACAGCTACATCTAAAACTAAATGTTAATTGTTAAAAGGAGAAAAAAATTCTACTTCTTTAAAAAATAACAATAATAAAAAAAATAGAATAAAAGTAATAAAATAAATAATACATTCCTCTTTAATAGGTCAAACGGGGCCATAAAATTTATTACTATTTAGCTGGGAATAAGCCACAATTAAAGGTAAAAACATGTTTATTGACGTTTCAATTTCCACTATGGAAATTGTTCTCAAATTACAAACAGTAAATTTCCTGTTTGTATTTTGAGAATGATTTCCGAAGTGGAAGTTTAAACATCAATAAATGTGTTTTTACCTTTAATTGTGGCTTATTCCCAGTTAAATAATAATAAATTTAAAATGCCACAAGAAAATAGTTTCAGGACAATATTAAGCGGCCAAAAGAATGTTTGAATAGCACTGTTCTAGGGCTGCACTTGTGAGACACAGGCAAGTCCCAAATTTTAGTTGCCCAAAGCCCTGTCAGAGGAGATAACCCCCATTAACAGTTTAAATTGCAATATACACTATCACAGTTATGACAATAATAAAATCTGTAGGTTTATTAGGCATTAAATTAAATTGGTCTATAATTTCAAAAAAGATCACTTAAAAATGACAAGAAAGTGATTAGGTGATTTCTCTTACAAAAACTCACTACATTTGAGATAGATGAAACATTGCAGATGTCAATGGTAAGAATTAGAAACAAGACACAATTTCTATTAAGAAATGTACAAAAGACTTACATTTTTACATAGGGATCCAGTAATCATAAATATTTTTTATGATAGCTGAAGTTCTAAAAGTACAAAAAAGGTGCTAAAAACATAGCTTGTTACATATTTTCTTACATGTGTGGATAAAAATTTGGTATTTACAGAAACATTAACACTTTTTTATAACAATTACCTATAATCATAGACATATAATATAATACAAGATAGACTTCACTACAGAGACATTCCTCCAGTGTGACACAGAAAACTGACACAAAGGAGTCCCTGCATCTCTGTCTAATGGTCTAATGGGCCAGGTTTATTGACCATGTGATCTTCTCATTTGTCATTTGGGTCACTTGGTGGATAAACCTGGCAAATTATAAAGAGATGCAGGGACTGCTTTACATCAGTTTTCTGTCACCCTGGGGAAACAGACTGGTATTGCAATAATCAGTCTATATTGTATTATATGTCTATGCCTATAATATACAATAACAACCTGTAATCTTTTAAAATAACATTAAAACAGCTGATCACACCACTAAAATTATAAATCATATCTGTCAAAATATTTTCTGATTCCTAGAGCAAAAAACTGTAAGTGTATGTACTGTATATTTAAAAACAGCTAAATTCCTATTGCTCTTAACAAAACTCATTTCAATCAAAGATATAACTTAACTGTATAAAATAATTGGTTTAATGTAAACACTCTTTTCAGACCATATTTAAAGATATCATTTTTTACAGCTTGATTCCAGATAGGTACTAAAGCCATTATAGAATAACAGAAATGGATTTTGGAACAAAACCTTGGGCAGCACTGATATCTAGGGAAATAATAAGTAATCACAGAGTAAGAAAAAAC